GTATCTTCGGTTGCACCCTTATCGCCCTGTGTATCTTCGGTTGCACCCTTATCACCTTGCGTGTCCTCATTTTTCTTGTTCATATCCGTAATTGATTCGACCACTTCCTCCAGGAGGTTTAAGAGGTCTCCATCCGCGTCTAATATATCCATTAACGGGTCTTCATCCATTGCTTGTACTTTTGGTCCTACCCCTGTGTGGCGCCTCTTTATACTTCCGGGTTTCTGTGGATTTTGCGTGACTCCGCCTTTGTGGTGCTTGTGCGTGACTCCGCCTTTGTGGTGCTTGTGTGTGACTCCGCCTTTGTGGTGCCTGTGTGTGACTCCGCCTTTGTGGTGCTTGTGTGTGACTCCGGCCGTCTGTGGATTGTGATATATTTCCTTCTCGTAAAAATCAATTTCTTCAATGATGCCGTCTATGCTGGCCATGAGACTGATGTTTTCCGCGGGTACAGAACCTCTCAACATCGGGGAAGTGAGTTTAGCATTTGTAGGCGTGACCTCTTTGGAATCTTTCTGTCCGTTCTCCATCTTCGTCTTGTCCTGCTTAATTCCATACTTCTTCGGGAACATCTTCTTCTTTACGAAGGTCAGTAAATTTCGTACCTTGTTGAAGAATATTTTCACTCCTAATTCAAGGATTCCTTTTTTGAGTTCACTGAGGTAGTGCTCCTCTTCCACCTCTATTGGGGCTTCCTCTCCCAACTCTTTTGCCTTCTTAATCCTGTAGTTTATGTAGGTCTTGTACAAGAGTCGTAGCAATATGTCCTTAAGTTTACCCATGACGACTCCCTTAAGATTGGTTAGAACGAATTCATATGAGGACAATTCCATTTTCAAGTGATCCAACTTTTCGATGGTGGTTCCATCCTTGTTGGTAGTGCCATTCTTCTTCGTTATCATTCCTTCAATGTCGACAATTTTTTCTCCAATTTCTTTTCCCTTTTCTATGAGGCTAACTAGCTCTCCACCGATTCCTCCTCCTTCTTGGATTAGGGCGCTCTTTACAAAGTCCATAAATCCTTCGCCATCTTTAAATAAATCCTTCATGCTGTTTTTTACAAATTCATCAACACCTACACCCCCTAATTCATATTTATTTCCTTCATTATTGTCTGTTACGTTTCCTAGTTGGATAAGTTCATTGGTATTCTTATTTGGTGTTGTTTTTAAATGAAACATATCCGTTACGACAGGACTGATCTGATCGTCATCCTTACTTAGCTGTTCAGTTATCACGTCTTGGCTCTTTTGTATGTACTCAACGCTGTTCTTTAGTGACTTCATTTTTTTGTTCAATTTGTGAACGACTGAATTGTTTCCTCCATTGATTAACAAAATGGCTTTATTATCCTTTATATTGTCAATCATGTCCTTTAATTGGTCGATTTCTTGTTTATGAAACTCCAAGAAGTTCATAATTTTCTTCAACTCGTTTGTGTCGGGTCCATACAGGTAGTCGTCCTTTCCCATCTTCAAGTCATTCTTTAAATCTTTCAACACGGTCATGTAGTTTCCATCCTTCAACAGATGTTTGCACTCCTTCATTATATTTTTGCACTTTTCATCTTGTGCTCCCTTTTTCTGAGTCAAACAGTACTGGCATTTTATCACTTTAAACAATTTCTCGTAATTGTTCACCAACTCTGCGCCGAAAAGCTTTGAAAAGCTTTTATTGTCATCAGGCTTTGCTATGTGTCCCTTCACCAGGAACGCCACTAGGGAGAAGATGATGATGTTCACTCGCATGTTGCCCTGTGTGTTTGTATGTGTGTATGTCTGTGGAGGGTGATTCGCCTGAAAAGGGAGGAAGGTGAAAAAATGCATTCAGTTTTATTACTACTTATTTTTAAAAAAAACCCGGATGTGTGCGGATTGGGTTAATTTAACCCATTGACGACGCGGGCGACAAGTCACCACGGCATGAGTGAAAATGCGAACAGGGACAGATCGATAAATTAACAACTTTGCTTAAAAAAAAAAACAGAGCAGCAACGGTAGCAACAGTAATTACAAAATGCTACACAGCTAGCTGTTGTGGAATAAACCTGCACATGGTGACTTGTTAAAATTTTTTTTTTTTTTTTTTTTTCGATCATTTTAGCTAGCTGTTGCGTAGAAAAATTCGGAGAGGCGAAGCAAAAGAGTGCTCTTCTAAAAGGTGCATGCAGGCGAATACGCGCAGAGGAGAGTTATACACACAGGGGAAATACGTTCGTATTTCATTTCTGGGGCAGTGTATTCTTGTGGGAAAAAATTACCTTTCGCGTGTACAAGGCGGGAATGGAATTATGAACTGGCTACCGTTTATGCGGTGAGTAAAAAAATTAGAAGAAAGTGCTGGTTGCAACGCAAGCGATGATAAACACAGTGAGAAGTATGATGATAAGAGCCTCGGCGAACGCGATACTAACCGGATGAAGTAATCGCTGCACGAAGTCCAAGCGTTGCGTTAAGGTGGAAAAGAGTGTTTGAGCGGAGGGTGACTTTGTCGCGTTGACAGATATGCGAAAAAAGTGTATTTCGCGAAGATAAAAGTTGGGCGAAGGTGTGTCACGGAAAAAAATAATAATTTGGGGAAATTAAAAATTGCGCCCATGGAAAATGCAAAAGTGGAAACGAAAAAGAGAAAGTGGAAAAGTGAAAGTGTAAAAATGAAAATGCAAAAGTGAAAAATCGGAAAATGACGAATTGCCAAACGGCCAGCGTGTGTTACGCTACCATCCGTATTCCCGTGCTCGCAACTCTTTTGAGCTAATTCTACCCCGTGAACGTCTGCGCATTGTTCTACTGAGGGAGGATGGCTGAACAGAAAAAGACGAACAACCGCAAAAGGAGAAGAACTCGGGAACTAAATGGCAGTGCATACACTCTCCTGCGTCCATCATCATCATTATTTTTTTTTTTTTTTCACAGAAAAGGTGATGAAAAAATAAATGTAAATCCCGAGAACAAATGATCAATGGATAATAGAACAGGAAAATATTACTATAGTGCACCTAGAATGTTATTTTCCCTCTGTGTGTAGCTCATTTTTTTTTTTTTTGCACAAACGGGTATCGTCAAGGTGTCGCATGAGTGCTACGTGTGGCGCGACACGGGTGGGAGCTCTCCGCGCGTGCGGTCTGCATATGTAAGCAGGAGTCAACTGCGCAGGTTTACTCTCCCGCACCGTGTACAATATGTTGAGCTAATTTTCGCCCTGATCCAGGAAGACGGAACTTTGCAGCGCACCGCAGTGGGAGAGCGCACGGAAAAACGAAGCAAGAGGGAGGGAAACATTTCCTTTACGCAGATGCAACCAAGTGTGCGCCGTTCCGTCGCGCGAACTGTTAGTAGGGTCCCCACCGTTTGGCCACTCTCAGGTGCGCAATGGGTGTGTGTAACGTGTACACAATGTCAACATATATATATGCGTTTTTGTGTGCGCCCGTGTGTATTCGAGTAAGCACAGGCCCTGCGTTCTCTACACCCCATGGCACAGAGCTCAATTACAAATGATGAGAAGTGGGAAAAGAACACCAACCATTGGTGCACTTCCGAAATGTTCACTGTTCAGAATTGAGCAGCTAGTTTTTATTTTTGTATTTTTTTTTTTTTTTTTTTTTCCCAGCTAGCCAAATTAGAATTACTCTGTGTGCACAAAATTTGGTGTTCTCCCTTTGGTCCTTTCGAAGAATTTTCCCTGTAGGACGTATTCACGAAGCGATTGTTCGATAGATGTCGCATGCATACGGCCTGCCGACGATGAGTCGCAAAATGTGGTACACCTTTACAACGCGAGAAAAGGATCTCCTTCCGCATTCTCCATCAACTGTGCGGTTATGAAAAAGGGAGAAATATGTAACCAGGAAGTGCAATTATCTGTTTATCGCTTGGATGGTCATTAAAAATGGTGCAACATATGGGATGATATGCCCTTTTTTTCTCCCCTCTCAGATGCAACCTTGGAAGGGCCGAACTTGAAAACGGTCTTACGAGAAATCCTCCGCTTTTTTTCAAATTCGACGGGGCATTTTTATAACTACAAAGAAATAGAGTGCGGCTGTGGGTGAAAAAAAAAAAAATGATTAACCTGGAAGAGGGCATAACTTATCCAATTGCACGAGTGCTGCGTTGTAGTTTCGCCTGCCCACGTAGTTGGTTCGATGAAGGGATTACGTTTCGTGGAGATGGCATAAAACGATGAGGTAGACTGAGGGTTCATTTTCCTCACACAGGAAGGTTGACAGGCTGGTTAGGTGTGTGTATGCTCATGCGACTTTGCGCCACAATAATTTCTTCTTCGTTTGTTACGATCCACCGTTCGAGTGTTCGATTGTCCGATTGTTCGATTGTTCGAAGAATATGCGCGATAGGCATTTCTCCCTTTAGGACGCCAAGGGGGAGGGTTCCCTGTCGGCCGTCGTTGCAAGAATGTGCGTTGCGTAGGCAGTCATATGGTAGAGAGCCGGCTTTCTTCCACTTCGGTTGCCTTGGATACCTTTTGCGTCCTTATTGCTGTGGCTAGTTTTTTTTTTTTATCACCGCCACGATTTAAAGAATGGGTGGCTACATCGGCATGCACATCTCTGTGTGGACCCTTTTCCCTGCACGTTTGTTAAACCCATGGCGGAGTTCGGCAACACAGGTGGGAGTGTCCCCGGTGTTACCTCCCCAGCGAGTTGTACATATCCGTAAAAGGAAGCAGATCGAGTTATGAGCCCCCCAAATGAGTGCCAACTATTGCAAAAGCTCGAATGGGCAAAAAAAAAAAAAAATAAAAAATAAACCAAGCTCGCGGGAGAGTCGCACATATGCTTGCCTACTCCCCCTATCGAATGATGAACAAAACTGTTCTGAAAAAACATGGGATTTTTTTCTCCCCCCAACTGGGTTCATTTTCTTTTTGCTATGTGTACATAGGTCCTCTGTGAATGCAATTTTTAATAGGAGTTTTTTTACTACGCCTTTTTGTGCTTTTCCTACACGGTGACTTTGCATTTCTGTACACTTATGGGAGGAATCCCCCTTGGCAGTTTGGTCCCCATTTGGCTCCTTGAAAAGAACCCGTTTCAGTACATGCCGCTCTCCACGGAAGGGATAGGCGGAACGGATCGAGTCCGATGAGACGGAATGCGGCGGTAAGTGTCTGTCCCTGAGTGGTCTTGACGAACGGCTGCTTTGTGGAAGTGTGTACAGGTAACAGGTTAGAGGTGGGAGTTGCCGGACATAGGAAAGGCTCGCCGGAGGGAAGAATCCCCAAGAGAGGGCAACGCCACCTTCGGGAGGAGACACGCACAATGGGAAAAGAAGGCCAAGGGGGGGGCGCCTCCGACAAGTATCACGTAGTACTCCGATTCCTCTAATTTAGCCAACCGAGTAGTCTGACTTCCTAAACAGCTTGTCCGTAAAACGAGCTTAAACGATGTAACCATTCGGAGACTCCCGCGCTGATGTGAGACCATGTCCAAGTTTCGCGCACAGTTGCTCCTGTTGTTTGCGTTTTTACATGGGGGCGGAAGGTTGGCCCTGTCTGTGGATAGACGCCAAAGGGAGCCACGGGTTCCTAGTCGCCCAAGCGGAGGGGGCAGCAGGGCACGTAGAGAAGCAACAAGGGGGGCAAAATATAAAGTACATACATCCCATCGGGAGCGACGAGGAAAAAAAAGAGCCAAAGAAAATCTGTTCATTGGGAGTATTATTGGCCCCCCCCCCCAGCAAGTCGCAAAGAGAGTCATGAGCGAAAAAGAGAGGGAACAAAAAAACAAACATTCCTCTTCGACGAAGGAATGAACGAAAGTATGCAATCCGTGGATCCAGAATTGCATGAAAGTTTAAGCGGATGCATGGAAAATGAAATTAACGATAACTACTTGGACTCAATGATTGAGTGCAGTGAAGACGACTATCACTCGGAGGATGTCGACTACGAAGCAGATGATTTAAGTGAAGAGACAAAAAGGAAGAAATATCACACGTATGGACGGAGGTATACAGACAAGGATTTCCAGGCAGATCATGTCCACAACTACTATCAGCACTTGCCCATATATTATGATGGAGATAATGATGGGCCGATCAAAAAATTTAAGAGAGTTTACAAAGCGAACAAGATAGAAAATCTGGAGAGGAATATTAGAGAAGAGGATCTTTACTATCCTTCCGTTCCTGTACACTGGAAAGTTTATGTCTGTCTTTTCTTGGACAAGAAATATAACTACGAAAATGAAAGTGAGCAAGAGATTTATGAACGATTTAATAGAAATGTGCGGCACAGGTACGCTTTGGAGTTCCTCTCCTGGGTGAAGCTCTCCACAAGAATATATCAGAACACGTCCAAAGTGTTGATGGTGTTTAATTTGAAGAGAAAGGAAAATATTATTGGCAATCTCATCTTTTTCACGTCAGTAAATCTTCACTATGCAGATATGTTTCTCAAATCTAATCCTTATGTGAAGCTGGGACTTTGTGAGGAGTTATACTTATATGCCTACGAAAATAACAATGATCACTTTTTGCTTGGAACCTTTCCCAACTTGTCCCTACAGAGGAATTATTTGTTTCTCAAATTTTTCAATTTGGATAAGTTGACCCATATGAACGCACTGTACGAAAAGCACATGCGTTTCTTCCTCCGTTCGAATATGATTTTCAAGCTGGGTGTGTTGAAACGGGCTGCTAAGGACAATTTGAAGGATCTGTTCTTAACTCCCAGGCAGTATCTGCCCATCACAGAGGCCCAGACAAGGAGTGTGTTGGCCAAGTTCGAGCGGGAGATGGGTGTCTTCGAGCGGTGCTGTAGCGTGGAGGTCGACTCGGATCGAAGCATTCGCTGTGTGAACAATGCGGGTGTGCAAGTTGGTGGCACGGCGGAAACGGCGGACTCGACGGACAGCGCTAACATGGATAACGCCGTTAACCTGGATAACCCCGCTAACATGGATGATGCCACCTACCCCGATAACACCCCTAACATGGATGATGCCGCCCCCCCCGGCAGGTTCTCGCGCGACTGCCTGGCCGAGCTGACCATCGCCAACTGCAAGGACGAAGAGGAGGCGCGCGAGTTCCTGGAGAAGGACCCCTACACCAGGTGCTGCCTCTACGAGAGCATCTTCTTCTGCGAGGTGCGCGAAGTAGCACCGCATGTCCAGTACACAGAGGGGTACATCCCCAAGGCTAAGTCATACCTGGATTACCACTACGAGCTGGACACAAACTTAAACCCTAACTACTGCTTGGAGGATAAGCCGGAATATATGGGGAATAGGAGCCTGGCCCAGAAGAAGTTGGAAAATCATGACAAGGTAGACCTGGACATTCTGGACACGTTCATCAAGTTGAAGTACACCAACAGGGAGGTGGAGTTAGAGCAGCAAAGGGAAGAAGAGAGGGCGGCCGATGAGGGGCTGCCAGCGGAGCAGACATCCAAAGCTGCAGTCGAGTCGCCTACACCCCCAACCACGCTCTTCAAACTGAGGAGGAACCAGCCAAACGGGCCGATCCACGGGAACCACTCGAACCAGTCGAACCACAAACGCATAAACAAACGGTACAGGGTAAAAATTGTCGACTATGATAACGATTACATAGAGTACCTCTGCAACGTTCAGAGTAACAAAATCGTGCACGTTAGGAAGGGAGAGAGGGACGTGTCTGTGGACGAGACGACGCCCTGCCCGTCCAGAGATATCTATGACGTCCTGGTGCAAGACATGAAAGATCCAAACATTTACCGGAAGAAAGACATCATCCTGGTGGATAACACTCTCCAATTTTTCGACCACGTTTTTTTTAAAGACTACCTCTCCAACTTTGTGTATATCTCTCTCCCACCGGGGGAATTCATTGAGGAGCCATATGCCATCAAAGACGAAAAAAATTATGACTTCACTATTTTCAACAATTCGCTAGCTAGCCAAGACGACTTCCTAAAGAGACAGAACTATCAGCCTAGGTTTTTAAAAGGCATTTGGCTGAAGAAGGATCAGTCCAAGATTTTATTTTACGACAAACAGAACAACGCACTCATGTATGGCACAGGAATCGATAAAACATTTTCCTGGGACAAAAAAGTCGACCACCGCGTTATGAAAAGGGCACTGATAAATATGGAGATCGCTTTGGAAAAAATTCGACAGGGGAGCTGCGTGCTCAATGACGATGTTACTGTGCACCAGGAAACTGAACGCACGATAAAGGAGTACACAGACGAGTACACCTCCTTCGAGCGACGGTTCACGGCACCGCATAACCAGCTGGTCTCATCGGAGGGCTACCCGGACTACAAGCCGCCACCAGGTGGGTCGATCGGCGGGGTAGCTGAGCAGCGGAGCAGCGGTTCGCCCTCGCCGACGCGTTAGCGCGGGTGCACTGGCCAGCCACACGCCGCTCGGTGCTTCGTCATGTCGTCACTTATATCGCCACTTCCCCACCCCGCCGCTTAGGACTGGAGTACCTCAACCCGCACATCTGGGAGAAGACCCCGGAGGACCACAAGGAGCTGATGCTGGACACGGAGCGGGTGCAGAAGATCCACTCGAAGTTTTTGAAGAAGCTGGAGCTGTACAAGGCGTCGATTGACGACGACCCCTTCACGCAGGAGGTACCCACGGAGAGCGACATCTTGGCGAATTCCAACAAGGTGCAGGTGGAGTACCTGTGAGGGGAGCGGCATGCAGTGGACTGTCCCTGCATTTGGCTAATCTGGCTAACCTGCCCAATATGTCCAATTTGCCCAATTTGTCCATTTGTCCATTTGTCCATTTGTCCAATTTCTCAATTTGCTTTTTCTCACCCCCTACGCGATGGGAAAGGCTTCCCCTCATGTTTCACTGTCACTCTTTTCTCCCTTTTTTTTTTGTTGTTGTCATTTTGTTTGTGCATTTGGGGGATGCGCGGCGAAAAAAAAAAAGAAAAACAAAAAAAAAGAAGAAAAAAAAAGAAAAAAAAAATCTTCACACAACACAACACAACGTATATGTGTATACACACAAGCGTGCGTTTTACGAAGAAGCTATGTAACGAAGGTTGCGCTGGAAGATTCTCTGTATTTGACATATGCAGTTTTGCGACTGCCTGAAGAAGGTCACAAACGGCTGCAAGTGGGGGTTCACCTGGCTGCCGTCCTTCTTACTGCTCACCCTGTTGTATAAGGGCAGTAAAAAGTTTTGATAAATGAAAAGAGCCAAAAAGAGAAAGTGCACATTCATGCACAATAAGGCACTGGTATCAACCCAGTAGGGTTCGTCCACGCCTTGTAAAAATATGTTTAAATCGGACAAGAAAGCTTGCGAGTGGTACAATGCGGTGTGAGTGAAATACTGGAAACTCTGCTGAATCCTCTGGACGTCCAGATAGTCGAGCAGCAGCTTCAGATAAACGTGCAGGTATTTCAGAAAGGTCCTTTTGTTCATTACTAAGATGCTGTAACGCATTTGCGTCTCGAGGAACTTCACCGTCTTGAGGTACACATTAGGGGTCTTCCCAAGGGCGGTGTCCACGCGCCGCTTGCGATGCTTCAGACGCTTCCGACGCTTGCGGTTGATCACGCCATTCATCTCTTCGCACTCTGCACCTGTGAAGTCTTTGCAGTCCCCACCACTCAAGTTTTCGCAGACATCTTCACTGACATCTTTGCTGACATCTTCACGGACATCTTTGCTGACATCTTCACTGACATCTTTGCTGACATCTTCACGGACATCTTTGCTGACATCTTCACTGACATGTTTGCTGACATCTTCACTGACATGTTTGTTGACATTTTGGCTGACATCTTCACTGACATCCTCAGTGACATCTTCGCTGCCTCCCCCGCTGCCCCTTCCCCCGTCGTCTGACTCGAACTGCGCCTCCCCCTCCGGGGGCCTCGTTAGCGTGTCGGACAGGTCCTCATTGGAGCCGCCCCAGGGAACGGGATGTCCCGTCGTGGGACTACTGCTCTCGTGGGGATGGCTATTCGGCTCACCCAGTTGGAGACTCACACAGGGCACCTCCTCGCTTCCCAGCCGGGGGGTCTCCATACAGTTGGCTCCCAAGTGCGTACATTCCTGGAAGAGGGAATCCTCGAAGACGGCAGCTTCCGAATTTGCAGCCTCCAACTGAGCAGCCTCCAACTGGGAAGCCTCCAGATGGGGGCCGTTTAACCCCTCCCCCTGAACTTCGCCTGGTAAATGTTTCACCCTATTGTCCTCTTGATTGACGTCTTTTAAAAGGCAATTTTCTCCCTTCCAAATGGAGCAGATTCCATGGGCTAGGGTTACGTTTGGGAAGAGATCAGTTTCTGTCTTGACAGTGGAGTCATTCCTTACATCTAAGAAGTGTTCCTGGAGTGGCTCATCTCTAACTGCTTCTCTCCCTCCCTGGGGATGTTTCCCTTTGGTCCTGTTTTTCTTCTCCGTTTTTTTCATCTTCTTTGTCTTCCCCGTCTTCTTCGCCTTGTTCATCTTCTTCATCTGTTTCGTCTTCTTCATCTTCTTCGTCTTCTTCTTCTTCTTCTTTCTCCTCCTCGTCACATCCCCAAAGATGTCGTCACTCCTGAGTATCTGCTTCATGTCAAAATCATAGACGCTAAAGAAGCAGTTATATGTATACATGTTTTTTAGTCCCTGTTTTTGTATTTCGTGCAGATCGTCGCACGTGCTGATGTGTGGGTTTCCTCCTTCGTTATGGGCGTTTCTGCTGAGGAGGTTATCACCATCGACGGCGCTAACGTCCACGATGCTATCGTCCATCCTGCTAACGTCCACCCTGCTAACGTTCACACGGGCCACCTCCTCCATCTGCACATCACAGTATAGCGACCTGTCGTAGTACATATTGTCCAGGCGCGACACGAGGGTCACCCCGTCATCACGGTACACTTGCTTGGTTAGCGAGAGGGCAGTCACGTGGCTCCCCGAGGGGTTCCCCATCTGGGAAGCCCTCGCCTTCCCCCCTTTCCCAATCAAGTTCCTCCGCAGGAGAAAAATCATGCCATTCTTTAAGTATACAAAAATACACATGTAGCTGTAGAGGAAGCTCCCCTTGCTGTAAATCAAATCGTACAAAAGGTCACTCCCGTGTATGTCACTGTCAAACGCGTCGTCCATGTGTGTTTTCCTCTTGGTGGGGTGCAGCCAGTTCCTCCCATTCTGGTCATCCATTGCGCGGTGTTCTTCTGATCGGTGTTTTGCTAAGAGGTGCATGGGGTAACGAGTCCATAGGTCCGATCCGTTTGAGGGGGAGAGGAAGGAAGGCATGTCCATTTCGCCCGCCCACTTGGTGCCCCCGAAGTAGGCGCTGTCGCTTCCCAAGGCGAGGTGGTTCTCCGCAGGGGGGCCCACCCCGCCGATGCCGCCCATACGGTCGATATCGCCAATACCGCCAATACCTCCTCTACTCTCGCTGTTCGGACAGTTCTCGTAATGAGCCTCGCCTGAGAGCCCCCTCATGGTCACCCCCTCCCGGTAGGTCTTAACGCCCATCCGGTCTCCTGCCCCATCCGCATTTTCCCAGATGCAAAACGGGGAAGTGTCCCTTCCCCAGGAAGCTTTCTCCCTTTTTATCCCCCCTACCGTAGCGGAAAATTCTATCCACTTGGGATTGACTTTCTGTGAATCTTCCCCTTCGTGCTTACTCTTTCTGGAGTATTCATAAAAGGTCATATATTTTATTAACTTCTGAATGTTCTTCTCCTTTTCTTTTTCTTCATTCTCGGCCATTCCTCCCTTGGGGACGGTGTCGCAACTGGGCCTCGTCTTCGTTTTCGTCATCTTTTTTGTCTTTGTTTTTGTCATGTTTTTCGTCTTCGTTTTCGTCTCTGTCTTTGTCTTCCTTTTCATCTTTGTCTTCCTGTTGGACTTTTTGAGGAAGCCGTTTAGGGCACTTCCCCCTTTGCCGCTAACCACGTCACCCTTTCCCTGCTGGCCTAGCATATACCTCGCAAAACTCCTCAGACGTTTCTTCCTCTTCTTCTTCCCCCCCCCGTGGGTAGCACCACCCTTGGTCAGTCTCTCAATGAGATTCATTCTCATGCTTTGTACTTCGACCCCCAGTTCGGATGTCTCAAATTGGAAGAACAATGAAACGGTGCAATAATTGAATAGCTGGTAAATGTAGTAACTCTTCTTACAGTCATAGAGATAAAAGAAGGTATACGTATCCATCCCCACGCGAAAGATGTTTATGATACAGATGTCACACATGCCTGTCTTCAATGGGAGGACAACATTATAAATCACCAATCTACTTTCTATATGAAACACGTTAAGGAGGCACAACCCTTTTTGTGATGTTACTACGAAAAGGTGATCCTCAAAGAGGAGTTGTCTGATCAGTTTTCCTTCCACTTCATCTTCCCACAGTAAGTAAAAGGGTTTCTTTTTCCTCACGGCATGGGTAGCATGGCCTATGGGATTGGCAATGTCATCGCCCAACATGCAGCAGATGACACAATTCTCTCTTCTACTGTCAAAGAAGAATATCTTATTTTTGTACTCCTCGACGTGCACATGGTCTCTATCGTTTCGGTCTCTCCTTTGTTCAAAGTTACTTTGTTCCTCGGCACTGCAGTTGCTTCCGTTTATTGCATCACTGTAGGTGGCCCCTCCGTCTTCCTCTCTGCTCGACGCGTCTTCCTCTCTTCCGGAGGCGGCCCCCACATTGTTCCAGCTGCTTTCCCCGTGGAGGTGATTCCTCTTGGATGCGCGACCCCGTCTGATTATTTTCATCAACACCTCAGTTGGGCTCCTCTTACTACCGCTCTTCTTTACTATGTCGGTTGTGTATCTCTTCCATGTGTTCACATTTAGGCCGCTTACGCTGGCATCTTCTTCGTCATGTTTTTCCTTCTTTACCCCGTAGGGAACTGTCTCCTCTTGCTCTGTGCCTTCCTTCTCAGGGCAACTCTGATGCTCCTCCGTCTCGAGAGAATCCTCTTCGATCTGTTTGACTTCAATCTCGGTGTCGTTCTTCACCCCGTCCACTTCGTCGTACAGCTGCGGCCGCTTAGACAGAGACTGCATCCCCATGTGGGGCACCTCCTGCACGACTCGCCCATGCGAGATTATTCCTCGAGCCCCCACGCCGTTACCTTCTTCGCCCTCAGAATCGTCCACATCCGACTCCTCTCCCTCTTCATCGTCTCCTTCTTCTCCCCTTTGACCCACATGGACTGCCTCTTCCAAAGGCTTCTTCACTTTGTCTGTGTCCATTCTAGCTGGACCACCGAACGCATCGCGCACCCGTGTGTCTTCCTCTTCTCCAGAATAACCAATCTCTATGATGTCTGTCTTCATTGGCGCATTGTAAACCCTCTGATCTGAGATCCCATCCAAATAAAAAATCCCTGCTTCCACTTTGCCTTTTTTGTTTGGAGGTTCCCTCTCGCTAAGTTCATCTGAATTGTATTCACTCGTCCTTTCGAAGCTTCGCTTATGCATTGCTTTTCTTTCCTGGTCCGTGCTGTTATCCGCATCACGGGGATTCTCAAAAACGTCTCCGAAGCGACTGTCTCTGTCGTCATCATTATTCACTACGCTACGCGCGTCCATGCACTCATCACCGGATTCACCGGATTCATCGCATTCACCGCTATACGCCCCCCCACTGTAGCCGTCACTGCCTTGATCTTGACCTGAGCACATATCATTGTTCCTCTCACTGGGTGCCACCTCGCCATCCTCCAGCCACGGGTTCGGCACTACACCGTCTTCCTCAATCGGCTCACATGGTTCTGCTAACTCTCCCCCTTGCAGTTGCATCCCATATTTGTCCGTCTCGCTTGTCCGATCCTGGTTGGGGCACCACTCAGGACTTTCACTGGTGTAGTTTCCCTTAACCTCGTTGCATCTGGGAAACTCTCGAACGTTCACATCATTGTAAGAACAAAATTCGTTAATCATATTTTTATCTTTATGCGTTTCTATTTTTTGTATACTATATTGATCCATGATTTCCTTCCTTCCTCCTGGTGCCCCTTCGGTTACGGGCTGCGCTTCCTCCTGGTAGCAGAGCTCCACGTGAGGGTTGAAATTCTGCCACTCCATGTCGGAGTCGTTGCCGCTTTTCCGTTTCTTAGACTTCTTCTTTTTTTTCGCGCTGGTATCTCCGCTGGGGTGTTTCTTTGCCTCTCTCTTGGCCTCCCTTTTCGCCTCCCTTTTGGCTTCCCTTTTTGCTTCCTTCTTGGCTTCCCTTTTTGCCTTTTTTTTTGCTTCCTTAGCTTCCCTCTCTTCACTGCACACTCCACCCAGTGCGTCCTCTTTCAAATCCTCCCTCTTGCCGTCGTCCTGGATGTCCCCCTTGTTCTCCACTGGACCGCCCGTGTGTTCGATCGCTTTGTCTTCACCTCCATTTTCGCTTTTGTCTTTTTCTCCCTTTTTGGCTTTTCTTTTTGCCTCCTTTTTGGCTTCCTTCTTTGCCTCTTTCTTTGACTTTGGCGTACACTTCTCCGCTACCCCTTGCGCCATTCCTCCCGGCGGGGCCCCAGTGAAGTTCTCCGTCGGTTGCATAATCGCGTCTGCTGGAGACTCCCGTTTGGGTTGCTCCGGTGGGCGCTCTGCCTGTGGCTCCAACGTTGCCGCAATGGCTGCCATTGCTGCCATTACTTCCATTGCTGCCTTGGTCTCCTCCTCTTCGCGCAGAGAGATTCCGTCGGCTGTCCCGTCGGCTGTCCCGTTGGCCGTTCCCACCCCTGCTGCAGCTGCTTTCCCCTTTTTGGGCCTCTTCTTTCCCTCTTTGGTGCCCTCCTTTCGATCCTTCTTAACGCTCTTCTTCCCCTCGCCCCCCTTGGCACCCTTCTTCTTCGTGTCCTTCTTGCTGGTAACGCAGCCATCCTTCTTCACTTTATGTTTTTTCCCGTCTTCATTTCCCTTCAAATCTGAGAGGATCACACTCCCCCCTCCGTCCATCACCAGGTGCATGGAACTCCCATCCAGTTTGTTCACGAAACTGTTCTTCTCATCAGAGTCCTCCATCCGAGAGATCCCGCAGATATCATGATGCAGAAGAGGTATCGTTGCAGAAGTGTAACTATCTTTATTGTAATTGTTTCTAATCAAGTCCAAAATCTTTAAGTCAATATTTTTGCTCGTCTCCTCCATTGACTCATCGGCATTGGGGGAGTTCATAGGGGAAGCCCTGCTGCTGCTGTCATCATTTTCGACGTATGAAGGGGGTGGTCGACGCTCTCTGTTGCTGTAGCCGTTGTAGCCGTGGTTGTAGCCGCTAGTGTTCTTATCTTCATTTCCCTCATTAAGATATTCCACATCGATAATGTTAAAATTTCCACTGCCAATGAGGTAGTGGCCGATGTCGCTGTTACCTTTGTTGAGCTCGCTCCCTTTCTTCTCCCTGCAGCTTTTATTCTTTGTCTTTTTTTCTTTAACGCTTTTTACTTTAGTTTTTGCTTTCGTTTTTGTCTTGTCTTTGCTTTTTTCCTTTCCTTTGTTCTGCTTGCCATTTTTCTTGCCATCATTCGATGCTTCTGCTGCACTCTTGGGGGGGACGCTTCGACTGTTGCCGCTGTGGCTGCTGTGACTCTGGCTGTTGCTTCTGTGGCTGTTGCTACCGCGGGGGTTACTATCCACGTGGAAGGCATTATCCACGTGGAAGGCATTATCCATGTGGAAGGCATTATCCATGTGGAAGGCATTATCCATGTGGAAGGCATTATCCATGTGGAAGGCATTATCCATGTGGAAGGCATTATCCATGTGGAAGGCATTATCCATGTGGAAGGCATTATCCATGTGGAAGGCATTATCCATGTGGAAGGCATTATCCATGTGGAAGGCATTATCCATGTGGAAGGCATTATCCATGTGGAAGGCATTATCCATGTGGAAGGCATTATCCATGTGGAAGGCATTATCCATGTGGATGTCATTATCCTTTTGGGTGTCATCCTCTTGGGTGACATTATCCCTGTGGGTGTCCTCCTTACCGTTTTCATCATCATCCTCGTCATCATCATCCTCGTCATCATCATCCTCGTCATCATCATCCTCGTCATCATCATTCTCGTCATCATCATTCTCGTCATCATCATTCTCGTTGTTCTCCTCCCCCTTGGCGTCATTTCCCTTGTCCCAATCCCTGTCATCCCCGTGGTCGCCGCCGTTGCCACTGCCAACCGTTCCGCTGCCTCCCCCCCCACCGCCGCTACGGACAGAAGCGCTCATACCGTTACTCGAGCGACTACCCCCGCCGCTCTGGTTGCTTGTGGCGCTCCTACCCCGCTGACTACTAACCTCCTGGGGTGGTTCCTCGGCCGCCGCGAGTGTCTCCCACAGGGGCAGCAGTCTCCTGAGTACAAACTCGACGCATTTAAGAACGGCGCAAAGGAAGGATTTCACGAAGGAGGGAAAGTTGAAGGTGTAGCTGACAGGGCTGCTATCACCCTTTCGCTCTCCGAAAAGGGGACCCCCCCGCAAAGGAGTTCCCCTTTTGCTACTACCCCAAAAGTAACGGTGGAGATCCACGTGGTAAGTACAAACCTCGCAGTGTAAAATGTGAATCACCTCATGCGATTTTGCGTTTTCGACAATGTTTCCATCTTCATCGTAGAGGTACTTTATTTTTGGAGTTATTCTGTTCCGGGGTTTCTTTTCTACATTTTCTTTTCCGGACATAACTTTGGCGCTGCTCTGCTGTGCGATGTCTGTTACATCGTCTCTGTCGCACTTTAGCCTAATTTCGTTAATCTCGAGCAGCACGTGGTTGTAAAATGGCTTCAGCCTCAACGCCTGGACGTTTATCTGCACGATGTAGACGGACCCGTTGGACGCTCCAATGACCAGTTGGTCGGACATGCTGGACCAACTTGCGTCCACTGCGCAGGTCTGTTCTTCTAGGAGGCTCTGGATTATTAAGAAGCATTTGGCATATTTGTTAACTTTTTTTTTTTCTGGCTCACTTTGGGCAGAGTGGAACTGTCACATTGGTTCGGTAGCGGCTGTTCCTGCTGCTGTGGTTGCCCCTCCCGCTGCTGTGGATGCGCCTCCACTTCGGAGGGGGGCCCCCCCGGGGCCACGTGGGAGTCCCCCTTGGGAGGAGGTGTCCTGCCCGAGTCCTGAACCCTTTTGAGGAAAATCTTCCACAAGGAGATGAGCCCATTATCACTGCACTGGCAATACAAGCTATACAATTTCTGTCTCCTTCGATCAATGAAAACCTTCTGACCAATTTTGGCCACCCTAATACAGCTCCCATGTCCATCAAGGAAGAGCCTCTTCTTGTTTATCTGCTCACTGTTCTTAACTTTAAGGAGGACGCCACAATTCCGTCCGTCATTAGGAATGTGTGTGATAGTGGCATACTTGCCGAAGCTATCAAAGTAGATGTGTCTTATAGTTGGAGTGTCAATATTTTTATAATTCTGGTTCATCTTTTCTTCATATAAGCATTCAAAATGCTCCCCTGTGATTGCTTTCGAATGAGGAAACTCTCCTTGGGTTGTACCTGTGCACTCGTTTTGCTGAGAGGAGGAAGTATCTTTTTCTTCTTTCTCCGAACCCCTTTTGCTCTGTCCAGCACATATCAATAACAAGTTCGTCTGGTCAGGATAAGCGTTTATTTTTCTCCACAGACATACAATATTGTCACTGCTCTGTGCGATGATGGAGTTGTTCGTCGGATGAAACGACACCCCCTTGATGTTTTCCCTCGTCCCTTTAACAAACAGCTTATGTGAAATGTAGGACTTCTTCAGGTTAAAAATGTAGACCATACCTTTAGACACTCCACACACCACATGTTCATTGTCCCTTGACCAGGCTAAGTCAAAGATTTCTCCACTCTCCAGAATTTTGATATACCTCGTGATTTTCCAGTCTTCTTTATTATTGCTATTTCCTGGGGTGCATACACTTCCTATGGTGCACATACTTTCTACGGTGCACATACTTCCTACGGTGCATGTATTTCCTACGGTGTATATACTTCCTCCTGTGCATGTATTTCCTGGTGTGCATTTTGTGGTTCCTTCATTGGTCAAGTGGTTAATTTCCTCCCCTGGTATTTTTCCATTCTTGTTGGAGTCCATCTCGTAGCATACCAGGGTCCCCCCGCTGTCGCAAGTGGCCAAGTACTGCCCGTTGAAGCTCCATCGGATGGTGTTAATATAAACCAGGTTATGATCATTGCTTATGAAGAGAAGCTCGAGGTTTATCTTACTTCCAGGATTTCCATCATACACAGGGATGTGATAAATTTTGATCTGGTGCAGACTAGAGATGGCCAGCCGGTTGACGGTGGAAGACGGCTGGAAGTCGAGACTCGTGATTTTCTCGTTTTCCGAGCTCAGGTTCAGCTTCTCCGTGTACATGGTGGGAGGGGTGAGCAGTAAAGCGGGCATATCAAGAAAACGGGCACAGCAATGGTGGAGGCGGTCCAATCGTGAGAGCGCTGCAATGGTGAATGCCGGTCCTTGCCGCCTCACACCGCAAAGAAGTACTCACATTCTCCACGTGCAGCAGTTACACAGGTGTGTCCGCTCTTTTTCATCGGGTCACTCCGTCACTTGGCCACCCCGTCACTTGGCCACCCCGTCACTTGGCCACTTCGTCACACGGCCACTTCTTCCACTTGGCCACTTCTTCCACTTGGCTACTTCCTCACATGGCCACTCCGTCACTTCACCTTTCTCCTTACCCTGGAACACGAAACAAAAAAAATAAACGCGTCCGGATAAAAATTCAAGTGAAAATCCAAGCGGAAATGCCAGGGGAAATCTACGCGAAAAGGGAAAGGCGAAATCGTCCAAATGGCCGCGCACGAGTTCACTTCACATTGGCTGGAACAGAAGGGTGACGCGAATTTCCGAGTGATCCTTCTCCGATCCTTTCGCGCTTCTTTCGCCAATGCTTCCGCGCGACATTTCCGTGTTCGTTCACGCTAGTATTTCCCCCGCTTTGCCGTCATACCGCCCGCTTCTCCCGTGCGGGCCAATCTGAGCCTCCTCCCCCCTTTTTTTTTTGCACCTCCCCGGGCTGCACGCCCAGCGGGCTCACTCCCCCGCACCCTTCGCTCGGGAAAACAACACACTTTCGAATTACCACCCTGTCGGGTTGAACGCCGTCATATCCTCATATCACCACATCGCCACATACGCCCAACGGGAAGAAGCCTCTTATCAGCCTTATGTCATACGCTTTTCCAAAACAGACGAAAAAAAAAAAAAAAAAAAAAAAGTTACCTTAAACAAATTGGCAAGGGGAGCAGCTACATGGCAAGCTCCCTCTTGCGGTCCCTTGCGTAGTGGGGAAAAATATAAATAAGTTGAAAAAGGAAAAAAATGAAAACAGAGAAAAAAAAAAAATACATTGGTCCACTTCTCCCAAACGGGTGAATTACTTACATTTTTTTTTTCTTTCTCTCGGGGGAGCGGCTTTGGTTTCACCCCCCTCAGATTGGCCCATTTCTTGGCCCATCATTTGTCCCAGCCCTCTGCGCCGCGGCCTCCCATGGCAGAAGGAATTTTTAAAATGCCGATCATGTGCAGCTGTCTGTCTGGTCACTCAATACGATGAACAGATAAGTGAATCAACGTCGGGTAGAAATCTCAGATGATTCTTCATGCCACCACGAAGTTGTCCAACTAACACCAGAGACGGAACTTAAAGACAAAAAAAAAATAAAGTAAAATAAATAAATATCCCTAATGTTCTTCTACATTTGCACCCCCTTTGAAATGCTTCCTTTTTTTCTTCAACATAATTTCCAAGCTTCGAGATCTGGCAGAATGGGGAATGGGAGGAAGAAAAAAAAAAAGCGGGTGGGGCGCAGCGATAATAGGGGATGTCTCATGGGATAGTCCCGAGGTGATTATCACAACAGGGTGATCACAGCGGGATGATGACAGTGAGGTTTGTTCAGGAAGTGTCAGAGGCGCGGCTTACCCCTGGGCGGACGAACAATGAGCTTGGATCGTTTCCTCTGTCAGCTCCGGCACATTTGAGTTGCGTTTCTGCAAGAGGGAAAGGGAGAATCAGAGGGAGCAAATTTATTGTACAGCCATCCGCCAGTTGCTCTTGGCGGTGGTCTCATTTTGCAAGGTCCATCTTTGTCACACGTGGGGGGCATTGAGCGGTGAATTCGCTTCTACCTGTGGGCGGGGACGAAGGTACTTCTTAAGCTGATCATTTGGATTCTTCCTCTTTTTGTCTCCTTGGCCAAGGCCCTCCTCTGAGGATAAATCCGCGGGCAACTCAGGAAATTTCACATTCTTGAATAAGTAAAATGACTGCTCCTGGGGTGGCGCGGCAATGAGGGATGATGCGCCAATGAGGGATGACACAACAATGAAGAATGACGCAGCAATGAGGAATGACTCCGCTGTGGTAACCAGCCGATCAGCATGTAGGTGCAATATACCCCTCACTTACCTTGAGCTCCTTCCGACTCGCCTGCACTAGACGCCTCTTTTCCTCTCGGATGTCCTCCGGCGTGACCCCTCTCGCGCCTTCCAAAATGGGGGGAAAAATTAAATAAGGGCAAACGTGTGCAGGTGTGAATAATCCCATGGGAGTGTCCCTCTTCGTGCGGAGTCACTACTCCGCTGTGTACCTTTCTCCTCGTCGAGCAGCCTCCTTATGTGGTGAGTGTGGTGGTAGGCATCGCCGGGTTCTCCTTTAGCTGAGGGGAGCAGGAAAAAAAAAAAAAAAATGTCATATAAAAAATGCGATATAAAAAGTGTAATATAAAAAATTCGATATAAAAAATGTCATACAAAATATGCAACACGGGGAAGACACAACAATGCCACTGCGCAGGTCCTCCATCCCGCTCTCAGGACGTAGCGATGACTATATCCAACAAACATACTATGGTAAGTCTCGTTGTAGACGCTGTCGAATTCCTCCTTCACCTCTTCGTGCTCGTCCACGCTGTGTCGCTCGCCCAAGTTGTGTCGTTCCTTCCTCAGTTTCTGCAAAAAGGGGGAAGGGGGTCCATTAAGTCGGTTTCATGTAAGTGTCTGTCTGTGTCTGTATGTCTCTACATCCGCATTGGCATGCTCATGTACGGAGACGTGTATCCTGCCTCCCGGGGGATTCACAACTGTGTTGTTGTTTCTGTATCTGTTGCTGTCTGTGCTGTTGGAGGAGAGGGGGAAAAAGGGCAGTGCCTCGAAGGCATACCTTAAAGTAGGCAAAGCGGACATCCTCATCGTTGCTGTCGTCAAAATGATCACTCTTTGGATCAGCCACAGGAGAAGATGAGGCGTAGGATGGAGGGTCTTCCAAATCCATGCGCCTTCTCTCCCCCCGCCTCCTTTTCGCTTCTGCTCTTCTCCTGGTGTCTAAATATTCTTGGAAGCTTGACAGGTCCTGCGTGGTGGAATACAAAGTGGAGATGGCGGCCACACATAAGGGAAGAGCTAAAGACATTATTACAAATGGAGTAACGGATGATGGAATGGGATGCCCATTTTGAAGCGCTCCATGGAACTAACATCGGATAAGTCAGTAATTTCCTGCGTGGTGGAGTGGAGAAAAGGAAAAGGGAAAAAAATGTGACGCTACGCTGTTCATTCTTTACACAGGGTGGTGTTACTTATCGGGTTATGCTTCTTTGGTGCACTCCTCCGTGGAGACATGCTATCATTCGCTCCTCCTTTTTAATCACCTCGTCTTTTTCCTGTGCAGTGGCTGTGCGGGGAACGGCCCCCTTCTTCTGCATCGCTAGCTCCAATTTCTTGAGTAAAAGAAAAAAAAAAAAAAAACATATATATATATGAAGGAACAACTCAAGATTGGACACATGTCCGTATGTAGGGGGGAGAAAAACTCGCTGTTGGGATGCACCACGTAGGGGAAGGAGCCCCCCCCCCAGTCATTCCGCGCACCTCTTTTATGTTAAACGGATTGTAGAAGCCGACTCTTCTGATTTTCAGTTCCTCATTGTTAATGCTGGACCAAAAGTCTCCCAAATTGAGTTCCTCCCGTTTGTACACTTGAATGCCCTTGTACAGCTGATGGATGGAAAAAAGGGGTGGTGGTGGCCTTGGGGTAGCGGCAAGAAAGGGGAAACACTGCAGCCACGTGGTCGCAGAACGCACGGCGGAAGACTCCACCGTAGGACTCCACCCGCCACTTTTTTTAATGCCTACGTTTTCATTAATGGGCAATATGAAATTGTTCGGCTGGTTCTCGATGTAGTTTATGAAGGTGTATCCGCCGACGGCCTCGGGGATTCTGAAGAGAAGGCTTTCGGCCTGCGGTGAGTGGGTAAAGCGGCAATGGGTAAAGCGGCAATGGGGAATGGACAATGAGGCATGGACAATGGGGAATGGACAATGGGGAATGGACAATGGGGAATGGACAATGGGGAATGGACAATGGGGAATGGACAATGGGG